GAAAGAGAAAGAGAAAGAGAAAGAGAAAGAGAAAGAGAAAGAGAAAGAGAAAGAGAAAGAGAAAGAGAAAGAGAAAGAGAAAGAGAAAGAGAAAGAGAAAGAGAAAGAGAAAGAGAAAGAGAAAGAGAAAGAGAAAGAGAAAGAGAAAGAGAAAGAGAAAGAGAAAGAGAAAGAGAAAGAGAAAGAGAAAGAGAAAGAGAAAGAGAAAGAGAAAGAGAAAGAGAAAGAGAAAGAGAAAGAGAAAGAGAAAGAGAAAGAGAAAGAGAAAGAGAAAGAGAAAGAGAAAGAGAAAGAGAAAGAGAAAGAGAAAGAGAAAGAGAAAGAGAAAGAGAAAGAGAAAGAGAAAGAGAAAGAGAAAGAGAAAGAGAAAGAGAAAGAGAAAGAGAAAGAGAAAGAGAAAGAGAAAGAGAAAGAGAAAGAGAAAGAGAAAGAGAAAGAGAAAGAGAAAGAGAAAGAGAAAGAGAAAGAGAAAGAGAAAGAGAAAGAGAAAGAGAAAGAGAAAGAGAAAGAGAAAGAGAAAGAGAAAGAGAAAGAGAAAGAGAAAGAGAAAAGAGAAAGAGAAAGAGAGAAAAGAAAAAGAAAAAACAGAAGCAAACCAACCCAACTGGGGCACCATGACGAAAGCAAGCCCTGTAATAGTATAATGACCTTTAATGAGTGTCTGGGGAAACAATAGAGTCCTAGCATAAAAGACAAAGGGCAAAACCCATCATGGCTCCACTGACGCTAATTCAAAATGATTTTCAGAACAACTAAAGAATGTAAGTGAGGTAATCTGATCCACCAATCTGACCTCACTTTGATTCTGGGGCCCTACTGCTGCCATTTCTAATTGTCAAACACTCTACATTTCACATCTGCTCATATTTAATGAAAAGCTGACTCTCACTGCCATTTTTTGAGTTAACTAGGTCTGTCAAGATGGGCATCGTACAACCCCTGTGCACCGCAAAGAAAACACACTGATTTCTATTGAAGCCCTGCCAGTGAAACATTGCATGTGTGTGTATACATATATATTTAATTGGAAAAGAAAGGCTTATGCTGCTTTACAAGGAGTGTGAATTCGTATTGATTTTCCTACTTGCTATTAACAGCCAAAGGTGACTAGTCTCACAAGGGGAAGTGTGAGATCTCTTCTGATTTGATGGAGTGATGAAGAGGGGAAAAGGCCTTTGAAAGATAGGATGCTAAAAATCCTCAAAGCTGTCAATATCACTTATCCTTCAAAATAGAACATAGATCTAACATGTTTTCCAAAATTATTAGGGTTTTTTTTCTGGAAATAATACCATTATTGTGGAGGTTTGTGTCTCAGCAGGCAACACAATCAAAAATGTTTACTTTATCTGCCTCTGTAGAGTCTTAAGTGAACTTGAAAGTTACAGTAAACCTACAAATTATGGTTTTTATTTCTTTGCCAAACAGTGTTAATGGCAGAAATTTTACCCATTTGTGGGGAAATATTAATTTAGCCTGGTCTGGCTGCTGTTAACACCAGCACCAGGATTCAAGTACATATTCTCTGTGCTAGTCTGTATCAATGCAAACTATACCAGGCACTGTGCTATTGAGGCTGTTGGCTGGGTAAGTAACACTGCCTATAGTTACTCTCAATCTAGGAAGGTTTCTTGTTCACTTCTCTCAACAAAATACATTTTGCTGTGTTTTACTCTGATAAAGGTCTCTTTAAAAGATAAAAACTTCTTTAACTTAGAACAGGACTTAAAACTGGCAACCATATCCCCTGAGGTGATACATGAGTTGCAACCAAGTAGATAAAAGGGACATTCAGAGTGCTTTTACACCTACATAGAGAAAAGATTTCTGTTAAAATCTCTAGAAAATTCTGCTAGAATCAGTTTAATTGGCACAGTCTTCAGAGAGAAAATGCTAACAAAAATTGTATTATTGTCATATACTGCACATTTGTGTCTGGAAAAATACTTAAAATGTCAAAAGAGTTAAAGAAAGTCATTAACCCCTTGGACTATGCACTGCAATACACATATAGTAACAAAAGGCAACCAGATGCATAATCTACTAACTATATTATAATCTTAGTAGTGGAATGCATTTTTATCTATAATGACTTGTAATGTAAAGCAGACATGCTTCCTGATCAAAACTCCTAATACTCCTTATAGGATCTATCTGAATAATTTTATAGTTCTTCTTTGCCATTTGGGTGGGGAAAGGAAAACAGTTCCTGTCCCAAGACATACTTTTGCCTGTTATGAATGTCTAAATAGGATAACAAACAGAAAAAAAAAAATCACTATTTTAATTAACAATCTTTCTCAATTGTTGACATCACACTGATAAAGCAAGCCTTGGAATCCCTACCGTTGGCCCAAAGAATTAATGGCTATGCAGAATTTTTCTAAGTTCTCTGTCTTATTGCTCTCAACTCTCATCTTTCAAAAGAGCTCTTGGGGTATATTCCAAAATGGTACTGTCCTATGGGACAGATTCCACAGTTAATTTCAAAGTTTGCATCAGAAAGTTTGCACCAGGCTAGTCCTTCTAGAAAAGCACTACAAAAAGTACAATCATTTTTATCTTCTGCAGTTTCAGTATTAGATGGAAAGTCCTCTCTTATTGCGAATGAAGGGCTACAAACAAAATTAAAGATAATAACGGCAACAGTACAGAACAGAATGCCAGCCACTATGGTTCAGCTATTAAGTTGTATCCTGTATATTTATTCACTGCCTATTGCATGCTGCTCTAGTGCTAGCACTATTAAAGCTGTCTGCTTAGCACCAGTCATAGATTTAGACAAAGGCCTGTTCCTCCAGTGAAGTACTTCTTGTTTAATTAATGACAATTTATATTGTATGAATTAAATAAAAAAGTCACCAAACTGCATTACTACGTTCTTGCATGCTATTGCAAGAGCATGCTTCATAAAGAGCACACAAAGCAAAATAACATTTTTCATATTAAAAATAAATTAAAACAGAAATATAAATACAGAGCTGTATCAAAATTTGGGTTTGACTTTTTAAAAAAGCATCAGCCCAGTAAAACTCACAGAACTACAATGTACGACACAAGACGGGGATGATACCACAGACACCACAGACATGGAACAGCATGTGTTGGTGTTAAAACTTACAGGCACGTAAACTGGTGGAGCAATCATTAACAGAGACAGAAGAAAGTGGGAAGGCTCTCTCAAGGGTGTCCATGTTACTATGTACACTGCCTGACATGCAAGAGCAGTCACGCTCAGAGCGTCCGCAATCAAAACAACATGCCAGTTTCATTCTCTTGTAGATGGACATCTTGGCTATAACCATGTATTGGATGGGAGGAGAGGAAGAGCAGCAGGTTAATGGCAAGGTTATATATATAACAAGGCAGTTGGAAGGTAATTTAAGGGATTTAATACAGGCCTTAGTTTATGTTAACAGTCTTGACCCAGGAAAAAAAATGCAATGAGATTATTGATAACACTTGGGTGTACATTAAAAGTAGGGCAAAAGATAAATTGTTCTTTATTTCTATTCAGTCTTATAGGGTGACCGCAGACATGGGGAAGAATTACTGTTTACAGTTGAGTGTTTAAATTAAAAAAGAACACAGTAAAAGCAGAGAATCCTAAGAATATATTTTTCCCTTGGCACAATTAATACTACTGGGATAAAATGAAAAGAAAAATCTGAAGTTGCTAATCCATTAGATATTTTTGGCACATCCTCCTTCCTGTAAAAATCAAAGACTTTTATATATCTCTATATATATGTATGTATACACTCACAGAAACACACATACACATATATTCTTACATACACACACTCACACACACATATACACTATATACATACATACATATATATACATATATAAAAATATATTTATTCTTAAACATAAGCTAAGAATTTCATTGTATTACACTGTGCCAGGGAACTCCTTTAATGCAATAAATTACACATTACTAAAGAGTTACAAGATGTTAATAAAATTTTCTGAAAAATTTACTTCATTTACATTGTATCTTCAGGAATTCAAATTTTCTTGACAGAATACCAAAATTTGCCCATATAAGAGACACAACTAATAATGGTAAATATGCTTGACATTAAAATCAGTTCACAAATAAGGCATCACCAAAAGCACACAGAGCATTGGTCCACTGAAACATGTTGAACCAATCATTGGCATGTTTTCTGCTCTCGATTTAAAGGTGGATTGAGGATCTAATAACTGAATGTACAATTAGGGGCTAATTCAAAAAGGAATGCCATAGTAGAATAGAATATCATATCCTTTAGACATCTGAATGTCCTTGTTATATATTTATAGAAATACACAGCATCCTATTTTGTAAATACATGTGTAGTTACCATTGTGCAATTTTGTATGTTACCTGAATTACAGTATGTTTAAGTCTGAAGAAATACAAAGACAACTTAGATTGTTTCACATGCTGCACTGAACCAACACTTTTGGTAATGGTTTAGATTGAACTGACTCAATTATACTAAAAACAAAACAGAACACTGACAGGCAAAAACAAAACCTTAAAAGCAAATGCAGAAAAAAGGTAATGTTTCTCTGGCCTGTACCTTCCATTAAGAATGTCTTTTTTGCATTATGGTAATGACATTAATTTTTTTTTTTTTTTTCCCAGTTTCTTAATGCCACAGTCACCAGGGAAGAGGGATAGAAATCACTCAAATGGGTCAAGTCCTGTTCTAAGGCCTTGATGACTTGCCATACAGTATACTTGTCAAGCAAGGGTAACATTATGATTGTGGAAAACAGGCATTGAGGGAGATGAATGAGTGATCTCTTCAGCAGCGACTCCATTCCTCTAAAACTTTGCTCACATGACTAATGCCATGTTCTTTTAGCATCCTAGTAGAGTTATCTTACAGCTGTTCAGAAAGTCATCATGCAGCATCAGGCTTGTTCATTGCATGGTACATCATTCCTCAGAGCTTGGCTTTTAGTAAGAAGGTTTCCACTGCAGCTTTTGATGCATACACATTCAAACTACACAGAAAATTCAAAACAGCATTTGTTTTCCCATGGTTTCCCTCTGTCTAACTCTTCCCAACACATTCTTTGAAATTGTAAAGTTGGGCAGAAAAAGAAAAGTGAAATATGTTACCAAAAATGTGGAAGTCTTTCCATTATGTCTATTTTATTATTTTCACTTTAAGGAAATGAAAGAAAAATAAAGGGCATTTGTGAGACACACTAACAGTAGGTGAGGTAAAAGGCAGGCCCATTTTGTTTTAATTATAGCTGTTTTGAAGAACTTTTTCTAATCAAATGCTGTAGCAAAACACATTGCTCAGAAATTCTCAACTGCTATGTCACTGGTTAGTAACAGTCCCTGGTTTTCATTTACTTGCAGCCATGTCTTGTCAACAGTGAGTAATAGGATAAGACACATCTATAAAAATTAAAAGAAATCATCCTTAAGAGCAAAGAGGGTTGGGAAGGAAAGCTTTTTGTACCATTTTTATCGGACTTAACCAATGAAGTGGGAAATTTAAGACCTTCCCTCCAAGAGGGGAAGGACTCCAAAAAGCAATACCCTTTCAGGGACTGTTTTTAACTATTATTATCAGTTGTTCTGGAAATCATGCATCATTTTAGTATTTCACATCATTAACATGCAGGAAACAGGCTTGGACCTGAAAATATAAGTAGCAGAAAGGACTTGCTATAAGGGTTTCAACCAGTATATAAGCTACTGCATATCAGAGCAATACATTTTGGAAAGAAAACATGCTGTTACTCTTCATTCCTTTTATACAGTCATTGTTACAGTCATACCAAATACAATACTTATTTTCTTTTAAATAAAACAAAACATGGATTATTAGTAGGGATGACTAGTGACAAGATCAAAGACAAGACAGAAATTATTTTAAATGGTTCAGCCACACACATACCATTTCCTACAAAACTTCCATAAACATTAACAAAAAATGGGAATCATCAGAGAGACAGGGGGACCTTAAGAACAGCCTCTGGGTGGGTGATAATTTCATCTGACACCTGTAGCACCTCTCTGTAAGAATCAACTCATTTCTATTCATAGAACTGTTATGGATGTTGAATAGAACTGTTATTTGCAACTATTGAAAACGTAAGTTGGGACATAAAGGAAATTACTTCCCTATTTTCAACTGAATAATAAATGGATAAAAAGGAAGAACAGATCCTTCTACTTAGTATGATGACAATACCACAGCATTTGTAAAATGAATTAGTAAAAATATGAGGGGAAGTTATCATGGACACGGAAATCAGACTACTTAAATAATTTACTGGCAAAATAAGGCATATATGAACTCATAATTTTCTGATTTGTGAAGAGCAAAAAGAAAGCAAAATTTCTATTATTTATAAAGTAAATAAATACTTTTAAAAACTTTTTTTGTTGCAATTTTTCTCAGAAGGCAATAGCCTTCCATTCTAACAAGGAATGTGCCTTAGATGTCTAAGCTTCTAGCAGTAGCTTGCTTTCTGATCTCAAAAACTCAGAAAGTCCAGTCAAAATTTCTATATTGTCTGGATCTGAGACTTAAGAGTTCACAAACAGTAATGGGAAATATTTCCAGCTGCAAAAATAACCAAAGGAAACTGCAGATTATTCTCTACCTAAGATGTCAAGGAACAGCTCCTTTTTTTTAAAGCAAGCAGAACAAAGTACCCCTTCATCTTTGCTGTGTTTTTTTTTTTTGTTTTGTTTTGTTTTGTTTTGTTTTGTTTAAACCATACAGGCTACCCAATCCTCGTATTCCACCCATCAAGTAATTTTCCTTGTGACCTCAACGGTAACAAAAAGTGGATCTACGAGGACATCTAGTGGATCTCTATGAGATAACAGCTGGTTAAGAACAAGGTTTCTTGACCAGCAAATGGTAAAAAAAGGTCCCACTACACTTAAGAATTGAAATGCATGCAGTGACATTTCAATTCATCAAGTGCTTATGATCCACACTACGAGTAAAATAACAGCAGCATTAAAGGACGACCAAAGTGATCTGATCACCTTTTAACATTGCTGGTTAGCATCATGAGACTCAAATATTGAAAGGACTTCGCCCAGAACAATTTCAGTTTCCTGAAAAATACAGCAGCATATCTTAAACTGTTTGTGAGAATTTATTTTCTCTTCACACAACAGGCAAAGATATCTCTCCATTATTTAATTTTTACAGAACATCTTCAAAACCACCAAGTCAGCTTGTTCACTATCTTGCAATTTTTGCAATCATTTGTTTGTTTGTTGGTCAGTTGTTTGCTGTAATTCAGATCGTGCTGTTCTTTGCCAAAACTGTAGAAACAGCAGGTGACCTGAGTGGACATTTTGCCCTATTTTATTAGCTATAAGAATGACTCACAGGTTGTAAAGTAATGGTACATTTATAGACCAATTCATTTTAATTTACAGATTGATCATGACCTTTCCTTCATTACCTTAAAGAAGACTCTCAGCCAGTGTACTCTCAAAGCTAACTGTGTTTCTGAACAAACTGAAGCTATTGGGAAAATGGAAAAAAAAAACAAGTCAAACCTATTTTATTTTCTTTTTAAATATTTTTTTAATACTCTCTTAACATGAAGAGCTCTTTTATTTGTTTATTTATTACTATTTAAACTAATATCTCTGGTCCAGAAAGGCCTCAACACAGAATCATATTTACAATAAGTATGTTGCTTCAAATAAAGCCAAATTACTTCTAGTATTTTGCCTCAAAGTCAATAGGATTCATCATTTAATACATAGAAATTAGTTTCTTTCTGGTTTATTACTAAGTATTGATTCTTATCAAGCTGACCTGTTTCACAATCTGCTTTTCTGTGCATCTTTCTGCTACATCATTCTATTGGCTGAAAATAGATCTTTGGAGAAATTTTGGTTCTCTGAATGCTTTCTACCACAACAGGATCTCAATCCTTTAGCGCAGTTTGCGGTCTGCATAAGATAAATAGTAGATAACGATAATCATAATGAAGGCCATGGCAGTTCCAAGATGGCTAGCACTTTATCATGTGACTCTGGGAATATCAACTTTTCCTTGATTCTTTGAAAGATGCTGTTGTGTGTACAGCTGAGAGAGGAAAACATACCTCAGTCCTGGCTAAGATCTGAAGTGTTATCACACAATAAATACAGAACATCTGGTGATATGTTGAAAAAGTCACATAGCCTCACTTATTTGGAATAGTTGCAGCTATTCAGTATGGTTAGGAGCCTCAGTCTAGTACAGTAATGTGTCGCTTCAACTACAAAATATCTGATCCCTCTTACTGTTTGAAAGAACAAGCCCATATAATTCCAACACTGCCCTATGCTTGTATTTCTAAGCAGCAAATTCTTTCCATATCCCAAATGCTGTGTTTATTTAAATTACCATGACTGTACACACTAAAAGTGGCTGACAAGAGCCTTCACAGATTCCATACACTTTAAAGTAGTATGACTGAGATTGACATGAAATGGTCTATAAAGTTCATATTCTATATATAATAATAATGTAAAACTTTACAGCTTAGGTCCTGAAAATTCAGTGTGGCTCTATTCATGTGATTGATTCCAAAATAAGCAAGCTGGGGAAAATAATCACTGTAGCTTGTTTCCTGTTGAAGATATCTGTAGTTTTATACATTAAAAATATATTTAATTCATTGTCTGGTTTTCCTTTTTTTTTTTTTTTTTTCTAATGAGGAGAAAGGAGTTGGATAAGGACAGTAAAAGACTCCTGTGTTACTCTTTGTGTCAGGTATGCAATGAAAAGAGAAAGTACAAAAAAATTGAACACCGGTCTGACAATTAATTGCGCTTAACCAGGCAAACAGTGCTATAGTGGTAATTACCCCAGCCTAACCACTATCCCTATAAATTCATTAGATATGTCTAGAATCATTTCAAGGAAATGCTACTGCCAAGATCTCATTTTCAAATAGGAATTTAAAAAACAAGGTTGTGGAAAAAAAAGGGCCAAAAAGGTGGAAGAAGGGAAAACTGCTGTATTTTCTTCAACGTCACCCTAATCTCCATGGGTGTAAACGATGAGAAACTTGTGGGTATGACGTCACTGCTACATGCAACATAAATAAAGAAAAGAACCAAAATACTGAACAAAAATACTCTCTGCTAGAGAAAGACAGGTTGGACCGCACTCTGGGCTACAGGGAACCCATTTTTACTCACAATAGATCACTATCAGTGTGCAGTTAAAATATAGTAGGGGCCGTGTTCCAAGGCAGCAAGAGGAAAAATAAATCAAAAGTTTGTCAATTGTCATAGATTACATGAAATTCCTTCAAACACATCAATGTACACATGATATGTCCCCTCTGGGGTTCAACCCCCACTATTCACAGCAAGCACTGTCACTGGAAAAAATATATAGAGAATTAGACCATAGCTGTTGCACAAAATGAAAGAAACAGGAAGAGTAGGTCATCCAGTTTTGAGATTTCATCCCAATGTGGCTGCATTTTATATAAATATATACATGTATTTGGCCCCTTGCTGCAAAAACTACAGTTAAATAGAACAGGAAAGAGATTGAAACATAAAAAAAAAATATTAACAACCTTTGAATAAAATTTCCACACAAGCATTTCTCTGGACAATGTGACATCAGCATTCATATGTTATCAGGGAGTGGGATGGGTAAAGAGAAAGGGATGGCAAAGAAACTGCAAAAGGAAAGCGAGGTTACTTTAATTATCCTTAGTCTTATGGAAACATACTGATCTGCCCTGAATTATTAATATTAGGCCTAACAGATTTGGACAAATGGCTATGTAGGTCAGACTTAGGTTTAGACCCCAACAATACCACAAGCTAATGTTCAGACAGTATCTAAATTGATGTGCAACCTCAGATGCATTATTAAAGAATGTGGTTTTCAAGTGTCACAGGAAGCTGTATTAATTAATGCCACCATAATTAAGTTTTCTATGTAAAGATACTCTTTCACATATAATTCACCTGAATGTGTCAATATTTTTACATACAACCTTTAATTTCATCTTACACATTTTCTGCATTCAGCTGCCTCTAATTGCTATGTTACTTGCTAATTAAAATATGTATTTATCATATAGGACTATATATACATATGTGCGACTACTTGCAGTGTCTTTGAAACTCAGAGACATATCAGCTGTTGACAGATCAGTTGAGTTTCCTAATTCAATAGAGAAAGAGTTTTCTTAATTTATGTTTTATTTTGGTTAAACTGCATTTTTAAGACCATTGATTTGTGTAGCTTACAGATGGATAACATAGTTAAGATTTTTCAAAAGTAATTAGTGATTTGAAAGCTAAAGCTAAGATATTTTATGTGAATAGACTGCACTAAAGACTTACCTTTAAAAGCAAAAATCAGGTCCCATAAAAGGGATCTCAAGATTGTCATCAAAATTTGAGAGACCAAAAATCACTAATTACTATTGAAATTCTTCATTTCTCCTTTTTTTCCGATTGACAGAAATTTAAAAGCAAAGCAATTTTTATCCTAATAGTTGTGAGCATGCTCCTCAGTGGAAGCTGTTCTCAGCTGTACTGAGCTGCCAGCTATCATGGTATCTGACTGTATGTGTGTGTATGCAGGAAAGGAAAAGTGAGAGGGCAGATGGGGGGAGAGGGAGAGGGAAAATAATGAAAGTGAAATTTAAGAGTTTACTCTCACTGACCATTTTTTTTTCTTTTTCACCTGACTCAGAGGATTCCCATCTTAGTATTCAGTGCTCACTGCAGCAGCTCTGACAGCCACCTGCTAACAGCATCATCCTCACTAATGCCATCATTTTGTTTCTTCATCTGTTCAACACCTTTTTATAGGACTGATATGTAGGACCATGCCATTTGGAACATTTGCTAGTGCTACACCCAGAAGTTGTCACTCACGTCTCCATGGCCCTACTGATGGTAATACATCCCTTGTGTTGGCTAGGTCACATATACTTGTTTCCTCCCTGGTTTCCTAGTACTGAGGATGTTACATTGATTCCTATTAATGTATAATAAAGAGCTCTTGACCTTTAGACTGTGAATTCCTATCTTCTAACAGATTTCAATGAAGAGTGTAGATCTCACACTAAAATGACAGATCTTTGGGATTTATTTATTTTTTTTTATCAGCACATGTATAAAAAGCATACACTATGTGAAGGAAGAGTAGAGAAGAAAATACAAACAAAATAGGTCTTTTTTGACAGAATCAGATAAAATTAAACAGGTAACACATTTCTCTTTAACTGTTGGGTAATATGGAAAAAAGATGGGGCTTAAGAGTTACAGGCACCCCCAGGCATCTGTAACTGGCTTTACCAGAACTTACTCAGCAGCCTCATTGGCTTTGGCAGCAGTTCAAAGGTCACATTCTCACATGGATAAACAGTTCTTGAACAATTTTTTTCCAATATGATAGGCAATGCATACATTCCTTCCACATCAGGCATGCTTTCCATGTGCTTTGCTCTCCTTGTGGCTACTGGGAGATAAATACCATTTTCTGTCAGTGTTTCAGCTGCTTTCTCTCAATTATACTACTTTGTTCCAAACTCCTGTTTTCTGTGGGGAGAGGAGTTTCTCTGAAAACTCCAGTGACATGTTTTTTTCTTTTTTTTAATTAAGCTATTTTTTAATTCATCAATTTCAGGCACCCCTTAAAGGCAGAGAATGTCCACTTGAGGCTTTCTTCCATCCTTCGAGAAAGTGCACTGGTAAGGCTACGACTGGAGCTAGAAAGAGTTTTTCCTTTTTAAAAGTAAGGGTGAAATAGACATGATAGAACTCTTCTGAGATCTTTTAATTTACCTAATCAGTATTTTTGTACTTAATGAACTTTTTCATAGCAGAATATCATGGAATGCACACAAATATTCAGATATCCATTGAGAAATGGATCCCTAAACCCTTTTGACATCAGTATTACAAATACGCATGGGTCAAACACATCTTTGGCCAAAATGTGGTTGTGTTAGTTCCTGCAAAAAGTCCTTTCAAGTTATATATAGATAAAATGCTAATTTTTATATATTTATAAAAATACAGATGCAAAGTCTGATCTCAATTCCAAAACTTAATTATTTCTTCATTCCAAATAATCTGAAGAGCAGACCTAAGAACTTAACCAAGTATTAGCGTTACAGCTATGGAATCTTCTAAAAGGATGTAGGTAAAAGGCATTAATATTGAATTTCTTCCACATAATCCCTTCCTCCAGTAAAATGGATTGTTTATTTCAATAATAATTTATTTCAAAAGTTATATGATGGCATATTATTCCCTACTTTCTTCTTTTACAGAATCATCTTCAGTAAGATAGAAAAAAGTTCTTTAATTTACAGAAAACTGTTGAAATTACTGGATTTCTGCATGTTATGAATGACAGCAGAACTTCACTGTTAGCTCATTCTTAATTCAGAAATTTGATCTAGCTTGATATAATTCTTCAGGTTTTGTTAGCTTTGGACCCTAATGGACTTTTTAATGAAAAAACAGGTGTGAGTGGTGTGAAATGTAATAAAAACATAAGGACCTCAGAAATGCAAATAGCACTTACTATGTTGCTGTGCATTTATTTCTTGGCTTTTTTGTACCATTGTGTAAAACATGTAAACACATGTACCGATAGTCTTCAAGGCTGAACAGTTCATGAAAAGGAGATGAGGGAGTGATAGAAATATTACTTACGCCGTTTGCAGCCACATTTTTTTATCCTTTTGGGATCTGTGATGTCATCATGACAGGCCTTGCAGTAAAAAAATGCCCTAGAGAGACAGAATGAAAAAATTGACACATTTCTTAATCTATATAAATTAAATTACTCCCACATTTCCTCTTGTTGCAGTGCCAAATTAATGAAACATGTCAGCACTAATTTTTTTTAGTCTTTGAAAAGGTTTAGACATTTGAAGTAGGAAATATTTACTACAAGACCATTAATTTCAAGCATAAGAATCCAAATTAGTGTTTCTTTTAATACACTTTTATTTGAAAAGTTATTGGGAGAAAGGATTATAATTATGACACTGCATCAGTTTATTTGTCTTTCATCTTAGAAAAAAAGAGCATCCAATTAATTTTGTCATGAAACTATATATATATAATGCATTCTCTCTTCTTATCAGATGTACCAGATTTATTTTTTTTTTAAAGACTGTCTAACCAATTTTTCAGCCTGGTCACAAGTAGAACTTCATTTTGGATACAATGAGAGATTGCAATGAGATCAATGTGACTGTAAAATCAGATATGCTATTTACAAAAAACCCCGAACAAACAAACAAAACAACAGAAAGCAAAATCCACTCAAAATAAGTTCCTAAAGGAACATATAAATGAAAGAACTGAAATAATCTTGATTCAGACTATTTTTTTGTCCTTCATATATGAATAAAGCAGAACTGTTTTGGTTTTGAACAGACAAAAGACAAAATTTGAAACAAAAATATGCCATTAACAAGGTGAACCATTTAGTTTCCTTTTTTTTTTTTTTTTTCCTTATGAACTTCTACTCTTGTATCAAATGGCTCACCACTAGGTGAAGCACAAGGAGGATTAAGGAAGTGAGAAGGGTAAACATTTGACTTTCTGTAAGATTAAAACAAAACTCCAAGTTAACAAATACACATCAGACTGCCCACAGGAGACTTTAATCATGCCTTTCATGTCAACATCTCATGTAAGGCTGTGACACATTTCATGAGGATCACACAGCTGGCCTCTAGCTGGACAGTTACGGTTTACCAGGATTCTTGCTGGCATAACAAATTAGACATACTTTTTAATCTGCTGAAATCTCCCTGTACTTATCCATATTCAGGATATGCCAGGTCCATGCCTATCTTCCCAACCCTCTCTCATTGCATACTTCTCAATACAAATTGGCAGTAAGAACCAAAGCTGCCACTTTGCAACCACCCATGGATTTTGCCGACAGTACTGGATAGTTGGATTGCTACAACAGTAGGGAGGCCACTGGAACAGAACAATCTAGTCCAAAATATAAAAAGAAAAATAAACAATATTAATACACAGCCTCTGAATAAACACAGCCTTTGGCAGTTCAGCTAGGAAGATCACTACCAATTCTTCTTACATTAATTAGACAGTGTCCACGACAGGTAGAACTATATTAAAGGAAATGTTCAGAAATGTGAACCAGATCCCTAATTCAAACAGTTACAAATTTATCTAAGTAATTGTTACACCTCTGAATAATGGCCCTGGTAGTTAAGTGGCTCATCATGAGAAAGGTAGCAGGTCTAGAATATGAGATATGGACCAGAGAATACAAATTTAAATTTGCAGTAAGACTTCACTGAATATTATTAACATTTCTAAAATCAAGACAGCATGCAAGCTACTGCTCGATAAATCCTAAACGTAGCAGACTTAATTTCTCTAAGAAACTTACAGGAAGATTACTCTTTCAGACTCTGAAATTGTCTTAGGATATCCAAGAAGCAAAATGAAAATGCCTTCTCTGAGCATTTGTATACTTTGATAGAGAAAGTTTCTGGTTTTCAAACTATTCACCTCCCACTAAAAAGAAAACAAATTGCCTCCAAGGAAATGAGAATAAAATATTTTTCAAACCATGAGTTGATGTCAAGACATAAGCAAGGAGGAGAAAACTGCCTCCAACTTTTACAATTTCTCCTCAATCCAGCTGTAAGCCCCTGCATTGAACAAGAATCCACTATCACAAATATTCCCTCACAAAACTTCATTACACTAATTGGACATTTCTAGAGATCTTGTTTCCGAAGGCCACTGCAGGACAACTGTCCCAAAGAGTACCTTTGTATAGTCAAGATCAAACATATGAAGTGACTGCTGTAGTAAAATTGTCTTTCTATATAATTGGGTTGAATTAAGTGGATTTCTGACATTAGTACTAACATGTAAAGAAATAAATAATAATAAAGATGTAATTCATACAGTTCGTATTATATTTAAACACTCAGAATTTTACATTAAGCTATTTACCTAGGCATAATTATTTCTAGGTATAATTGTTTCTAATGTGAAACTATTGTTTTAAAAATGCAAATGTACTTCTAGCAAGAGGAGTAATTGAATATTGCATGTTATATTTCATTGTGAAACATATAATTCATAAATATGAACAGTTTTAGCTTAAAGGAGGTGAAATTTCTCCATTAGCATGTAACACAAAACCAAAATAATTTAACCTGAATTTCAGGTATATAACATGTTTAGTTTTACTTTATTAAAATATCCCTCCAAAAGACCTCAATTTTAGTACATTTTTCTGACCCTGATTCATAGCTCAAAAGGGTGATATCAACACTTTCACATCATTGGCTTTGTTACTTGAAACACATATCTGATAAAAATTTGCTTTGCACAGAACAGTTAAGAAAAGTGGTAAGAGTAGGCAGCATGTTTCTAAACTTCTGCAAAAATCAAGACAGAATTGGGAATTTTGTTTCAGTTTGCTATTAGATAACACATGCTAGATAAATGATGGATAAAATTTCTCTTGAAAACATTAAGAACCATCAACTTGCTGTTAAAAATGCTATGCCAGGTAATTTTTAGTTACAGTATGAAATAGTTTCATAAGAGAGTATAAAATGCTTTATAAATGAAAAAAAGCTAGCACCTCAGTAAAGGAATGTGAAGATAGTTCTGTATATTCACCTGGAGAAAAGCACCAGATAGGAAAAGGCCTATATGGTGAAAGGTAGCGTACCTGAGTCAGTGTTGTACATAAATACTCCAAAAATGGTGCTAGAAATATAAGAGGACGGGAGCATTGCTGTGCTGTTCTGCATGTTTCACCTAGCCTAAAACCATCTTCACTCTTTCAATGAAATTTGAATTCAGGTTCTCAGTGATTTCACTGTTAATGACGTTTTAACTTTCTTCAAATATTAATGGCAAACATGCATTGCTTAAATATTATTTTCAGTGTCATTTCATCATAAACATTTTGGGACTTAGTAAATATTACCATTCGAATATTTTATCATTCTAACTATAGGATTTAATTAAAATATCTAACTCAAGGAGAACATCAAGTAAAACTGATTCTTAATACTATGACTTACAACAAAGATACAAACTATGAGGAAGCACTCAGCTGCAAATATTCTTTTTTTTTTTTTTTTTTAAATTTTACAGACATGGAATAATTATTCCTTTTGAGGATTATTTTTTCAGATTGCTCTTAATCCTTATATAATATTATAATCCTATCAAACAAGAGTACACGTTTGGTCCTAAACACAACACCATAAACACCCTTTTCATTCAAGTCAAATCTAATACAGTCAAGTACAATGAACCTGCAAATTTGTCTATAATGGTTAGGATATACTGCACTGTTGTAGTTTGATTTATTATTATGAGGTCATATAGTATGTAATTCCAGTACAGAAAAATGACAAGAACATAACTATTATTCTGCTAATGCAATTACAGAATGAATACAGTAGCTCGCTTACATCAAATATTTGCTAAAGTCTATGTAAATAAGAACTACTCTAAACCTGAAACTTGGACAAAACTGCAATCCCTGTCCTCACTCAAAGTAATTCCACCGAGAAAAATTAATTATAGAAAAATCAGATCAAAATGTTTAACATTTTCTAGTAGGACTCAGAAAAAAAGCTTCTTCATGTCTTTTCACATCTGCTGTAAAATTATTCCATATCCTTGATATTTAGGACTGTAGTTAAGAAAATGGCATTCACACATGATTGATTCACTAGAGTACCAACTCAATCCCCCCTGAGAATCTTTAAACAGATAATAATTACAATTAGGTGAGGTGTTTACATGTAAAGAAAAAACAAAGTAAATACTATATGTTTAAATTTGAGGATAAAAATATATTAATTACCTTTTTACTTCTTTGGCATCACTTGCAATGAAGAATCCTAAAGTACCTTCTTGAATCTTGACATGGTTTCCAGGATTGATTAATATACTGCTCAGTGAAACAAAAACAAAAACAACAAAACCATAATTTTAAATTACTTTTACCCAAATGTTCCTAAATAGCTTTATTTGGTTCTGTTATAGGGGACCCACTAGTTAGGAAAGGCTGCAAGGAAATTTTAAGCCATTCTTCCTTGAAATTTTCAACTAAGTAACAGTTTCACATGCTTTTTACAAAAGCTTAAGTTTGAGACAGTCACATGCCTCTGCCTATAATCATATCATTTAAGTGTTTACAACTGTTTACTTATGTTTTTGCATTAAATACAGACTATACAAAATAACAAAGCCTCTCAGAAACATGATGTATGAAGCTGAGCATTTCAGCTTTCTTGTTCTGTCAGGCAAGTGGTGAAAATTTAACAAAATGGTGAAAAGGGAAGAACCAGCAACCACCACTCAATAACAATACAAAATATCATTTATGAAGCTAAACCCTTTGATGCAAATTTTTGCCAATTTCTAGTGAAACAGAACATTAATGGGACCCCTATCTGGACATATAATGTTATTGTTTAAAATAATACACACATACACTCAAGGGGAATGGTACAAGACAACCAGTCATGACAGCAGAAAAAAACATAAAATGAATAGAAAATTTTTAAACCATTGCTATGCAGCCATGGAAGAACAAAAATAACCCAACCACAGTGACAAAATACCCTCAGCTAAATTTGGTGAAGAAAATTATAAACTGCTATCAAGAAGTGAGATACTCCATGTCTCTCTACAAAATACCTTTCTTATTTTCACAATAATTTAACATTACATTTTTAGGTAAGGCACTGCAAAGCACCATGATAAATTATGAATATAAAGACAGATGCAAATATATTATCCAGTGAGTTTTATTAATGCGCAATACAATTAAGTTTCTGACTTGCTAAAACTTAATTAAGCTTATCATAACTTATCTCTTTTTTGTCTTTTATTAAAGCTGCCTTTGTAAGTCAAAATGTAGTAATGGCACACATATGTAATTTACAGTAGATAAGACTACCAGTAATTTAAACACTTGTGGATTTAGAAAAAATTTGTTTTGGGAAACAATATATATACAAAAATAAATAAAACATATTTCTGTACAGACGTATATTACTAAAATTTGAAGGCCCAAAATCTTATTGTTAGGAAGGAAAACGGGTCTCAGCAGATCTCTTATTCAAGATGCTATTTAGTATCTATACATTAGTCATAAATTAGAGCGACAAAAAATATACCTGGAATCTTTATAATGAGCACACTGTTTTGTGTGATTACACATACCCACAGGGCCCTATGAAAAGAGTATGGAGGCTGAAAAATAAAGTGCTCGTGAGTTAAGAATGAAAAGGTTGGTCATACAGTCATTATTCAGTCCCTGTTATATAGACATTATGATACAATTCTTAATTTAATAGCCACAAACTACTTTTTTCTCACAATCTGTAATTTCATTTAGTGGTGGTTTACTGCCAGTACTCTAGGCATGGCTTCATGTAGTTTATCTTTCTTTAAAATCAGCATCATATTTCTTATGTGTTTTTCTGAAGTGTTCATCACTATAGCATTCAAAAGATTCACAAATACATTATTTATTTTACAAGAACGAAGATATAGTATTACCCCATTTTACAGATGAAAGATTAAATCGCTATGAGATATAGTGGCTACTAATTTGGGATGCCTACAGGTCATTTTTTGTTAGTATCTAGCATTGCCTAGCTCCATATACACCTTTTAGGGACTCTTCCTGTAAGTAAGGATGCTCAGTGTTTCCAAAACGCTAGCCTCTGTTTCCCCAAATAATAAACACTTAATCAGAGGTCATCTGTAAAAGATTTGGTTTAAATTATTAGTTTACTCTCACACAGACATTCTGTGGCAGAGGCTGGAACAGAAATTGAATCTCAGAGAAAGCATTTACCCAGATATCCTTCCTTTTTCCTTCATTCACAGTTTCAAGCTTTGCAACAAAAAGGAGAGGAGAACTACAGAAAATGGAAGTCACCACCACAGAAAGCAGGTTCATCTCCACAGCACACTTCAGTAGTATTGCAAAAAATGAAATGTGATGGTGTAAAGAACACCTACATTATGTACGCAGATAGATGGGATGCACAGCTAAATTTCACATCTAGTATTTATTTATTATTATTATTTATTATGGCAAATAACCTTCCAAAGTCTTTCTGCCAAAACTTTCTATCATGTTCGTAACTGCATCTGTGTTTCAGTCTCAAATTTTCTTCTTCCCTGTCTGCTAGTCCTTAATCTGCCATTATGCTGATAATTTAGCTGTTAAAAATCTACAGATGCTAGTCTCATTTATTTCTACTATACTGTTCTTTCTAAAATATGCAAAGACTTGTACTATGGTTGGGGTTGGTTATTTTTCTTTTGTACAAATGGGTACTGCTCTGTCAGAAAAATACTTTTTTTGCCCATTTCATTCTTTGCCCTTAATCATGGAAGTATTACAGCTTTTCAGTGAATTTTTTTTTTTTTTTCCCCTCATCCCATTCTTGGAGATAGATAAACCAGGCCCAAACATTAAAAAAACACTACCAAAAGCGCAACAACTCGAACTCCACAAGCTGAGGTAACCAGTAGATACATAAATGTTCACTACCCCTCACAAATTTAAAATTTGACAAAGTAATAAGCAAATTAAGAGTTCTTTTAAGAGGCAGTGAGCATAATCTTAAATTAGAAGTAACTGGCTTAATTTAGGTTGTAATGTATTGTAAGCATGATTTTGTATCTCAAGGTTTTCTGAGACACGTTAAATCAATTCAGATGGGTTGGTGTATAGACTTTATTTTTGACAGATATTATACTTATTCACATATACTTACTTTCACAAATACAATGAATTTATAGCCACAAAATATAGATGTGATAGCAGTTAATGCAGTATGACCCCAGCAGCAAAATCTTCTGTTGGGAATAAAAATTAATTTGTCCCATTACTGCTATTCACGAAGAATTACAGCAAAGGCTCATAAAACTTTGGGTTTATATACACATTGATACTTAAACGGAGCAAAAGCATGAGCAATTTCTACTGAGTCTATGTGGATCTATTAATATGCTGCTTATTAAAGCAGCAATTGAATTATTTCTTAAGAGACCTGTAGCGTCATTAGCTAAAGTTATGCTTTGATAAGCACTCACACTACTATGTCCAGCCGGGAAATGTTTTGAATTAAAAGAAAAGAATATAGGGAACAAAGAGGACACAAAAATAAAACAGGGTTATGAGCATACCAAGAACACTGCATCCATCAGTTATTTAGAGATGCATGCATCTGTTTAAGCATGAAAATATGCATATATACTCCTACAGTTGAGAAGGTAAGTACATGGCAAAGTAAATTGGAGTTTTAAGAGAGAAAGCTTTAGCTAATGTCACATTTTTATGTATCTCCAAGGCTGGAGAGTTTTCCAGATATAGAAAGATTTAGGAAAAGGGAAAAAAGGACAGAAAGTAATTACGTTTAATAGCAATACATATGGCTAATTCATATGCATTCTGTGCTAAACATTGGAAAAAAATATTTTGAAAATGACACCCTCCCATTTTTCCAAATATACATTTTATCATAAAATATAATTTTACTTTTTTATGTCCTAAATCAGCTCATTAAATCAAGCAAGGGATGCCAAATACTTTAAAAGCTTCTAAGATCTTGATCAAATTTTATAATTTTATAACATTTCTAGTTTAGGTTACCTCAGAAACTAATCAAGTAATAGCAAGCTCAAAAAACTTTTAGTCATAATTTCCTTAATAATTCCAGTTCCAGAAACACATTCATCGGGACAAAGCTTTTCATGACAGGGGTCACATGTCAGTGCAAAAAAAAGGATTATCTTTTGACTTGCTTGCTCCTTCACACATGAACATTTTACAACACATGGCAATCGCAGCCATGTAAATTGAGTATGTGTAAATAAAGTACAATTTAGTTTGTTTAAAGGGAATGCAATGTACTTCACCAGCATGAATTTAGGAGAAGCCAGTTCCGTTACTCTATGATATACATCAATTTGTAAGCCACTTGTGGAATTCAATATGCAGTTTGGAAACCCCTGCTTCACATTTATCTAACATCCAGCAAAACTTAGTCCATTTGCTAAACAAAATTCACTTGGTGACTAGATGCAAAATCATGTATCTAAGGGCAGTGAAAATGTCACACATTGCAAATGTGGAAATCATCCTTGAATTCAGTTGTACTTCCAAGAATCACAGAATGAATCACAGAATGGTTTGGTTTGGAAGGGACCTTTAAAGGTATCTAGTTCCAACCCCACTGTCATGATCAGGGATATGTTCCCCTAGAACAGATTGCTCAAAGCCCCATCTAACTTGATATTGAACACTTAAATCTTAGGAAAGAAGCAGAACAATAGTTATCTATACAGTTGAAACTGAGTTCCCAGAATGACTGAAAGATAAGCAGGTGAAGCACAAATGGGAATTAGTGCACATTTGAAATGCACAGTTAAAAAAAATAAATAAATTCAAATGTGGTCAGAAAAATTCTAGATAAATGCTTATGGATCTCTTTACATAGATTGTTCAATGAAAAGTTAAGACAGGACATGATTATTTGTATATGTTGGTAGAGAATAAATATCTGTTAGTAACTTTTTTTAATACTGATCAATTTAATCACTTGTTGGATTATATCTTTCTGATGTTTTAAGTATACATGCTGCCTTCAGTAAAATACAGATACATGTAAATATCTGTTTGTCCACTCTTACTTACCTGAAAATACCTCAGAACATAAGCATTGCTCAATACCTTTTTAGTAGTACATGGTTGAATGACTGCACAATACAACAATATTGTGACTTAGAGAAAGATACCATATTATGTCTTCTCTTAAAGCATGAAAAGTAAGCTAAGGTTTTGATTACTAGTTGCGGGTCTTCCATGTTTTGCTGAACTTAAAGATATTTGATGGAGAACCTGACAGTTGGAAGTTTGAACTG